CTCTTTCTAATCTCCCTTTGAAATTCCTTTGTAAGAGAACTGCTACTCTTAGGTCAGCAACTGAATGCCCTGGAAGGTTAAAATGTTCCCCCACTGGTTTTTGAATGTTGTGGTTTCTAATGTCAGACTTGTCAAATTCTTTGTCAAAGGGACTGGCATGTTTGTCCACTGTAGAGGGTGGAAGGGCATTGTTGAAAAGTGATGGCATAAATCATATTAGAGGATAAGCAGGAGTATGAACCTGAGATGGTATGGCTGATGTTGCTGGGTCCATTGATGGTGTTGCTAGGATCTATATGAGAGCAAAGTTGGCATCTTGGTTTGCTGCAGGCCTTGGTATCAGAGTTCATGTTACTATTAAGTACTTTATCATTATGGGCAAGACGTTGTTTTTGGTTAGCAGGCTGTCTATAAGCAAGAAAAGGTTGGCCCCAGTGCCTGTGTGAGGGAAGTGTCACTATTCAGCATGGATTGTAGATCATTAATAATGTGTGAGGATAAAACAGAGGAGGAGAGAATGGGACCAGATTGGGGAGGAAAATGGGCTACAACAGTATCTAAATTAAATTATCATCTGAATCCATAGACCGATTCTGTCTGTAATATAAATTAGCAGGGCCTGGAATAGTGATTACTGAGGTGGGACTGATAAAGAGGCGGGAGTGATGAAAATGAGTTTTGGAAGTAACATATTATCTTGCTATGGCTCGTAGATAGCAGAACTAGCATCTAGGAAAGTTCTTCCCACCAACCAAGGGTTAATGTGGGACAGCTGAACACCACAGTCTTTCTCCAAAAGCAACTCCCTTGCCAAGACTTGTTGGGACTCACCGCCGGAGATGATTGAGCACCAGAATGTTGGCATACATGTAGTATACGTAATAAGTGTAGGATGGATTCTTCTCATAGTTCCATTCCTCTGGTTTGGGGCTCTTGGTGGAGAACATATGCCCACTGTGCTTGGATTCATCATCCACACTGTCAAAGCCAGTAATCTGCAAATCATACAATTGGTTCTAAGGGACAGTCCAAAAATTCAGAATATATTCCTCTCCCTCACCAAATATAATTAAAAATATCTCCAGTCCCATTTCTCTGGAATATGCCTCTACAGAGCTGGGATGCCCACTTTTGTCTAAAAGACTTCCTTGTTGGGACAGAGGGTTAGAATCCAATAAGAAACTAGATTTTTTAAATCTCTTGTGCACCATCAGCTACAGGGGACTCTTGGTGACAGGACACTGGATGACATGGGGCATTTACCTCCTTTAATTAAAGATATGGTGCCTGAGACTTACTTAGGAGCTGACTGTGTTCCTGACACAACAGCTGTGTTTCCTCCCTAGCATTTTCCAAACACTTGGCCCATTTCTAGCATAAGGGTTGGACCTAAGCTCCCTCTTTGGTAGCAGAACTCACATGGCGCAGAAACACACTCAGCTCCTTGTTGTTCTGTGGGTTAATTGTTGCCTCAAACACTGGCACAAAGATGTTCTCCAGCATCTTCCCAAAGTGTGGCAAGAAGTTCTTAGACCTGAACACATCACTGGGGGAAAGACAGAAACATTCCAGATCAGTCAGATACAGAAAGAAAAAGTAAGCATGTTGCAAGTGGAGATACTGATGAATGGAGTCAAACTTTGGTTTCTGCTCTGGACAGTAATTAGCCCAGTCTATAGGCCAGAGGCAGTTGCAGTCCAGATTGATATCCATTGCCCCAAAGAGTGGAAAGTGGGCCATTGAGAATCAAAGCTGACACTTTCTGCATAGCTCTCTCCCTTGATCTGCCCTCTTTTGTGATCACATATTAGAGTGATCACATATTAGAAATACAATCCGGCAGTTGTTTTTTAAAAACATGTGATCCACAGACTCCATCAATATTCAGCTAAGTTGGTACTTCTGAGGTGCTACTTTGCAGTGTCCCCATTCTTTCTCCACCGTACGTACTAGATTCTGGGCACCTGGATCATCCATTTCATATTGGGAGAATAAACACGGTGTTGATTGAACCAGTTGGCTAATTTGGGCCACTCTTCTGGTGTACGCCCATAGATGGAGAGTCGTGGCTCTGCATACTGGTACTTGGCGTCCTCCAGGTCAGAGCCAACCTCCTGGAAATCAGAGGGGAAAGGGATAACTTACGCCTGATGTGCTTCCAGGGACTGGCCTTATCCTCAAACCACTGGCCATACGGACACCAATGCTTGCATACCATATTGTCTAACCTTGATGATTGTGGCAAAGTATTCACCATTGAGGGTGTTTTCCGTTTTGAGGTAGAGATCACGCAGCTCACTTGCACCTACTGGATTATACTTGGCATTGAACTTGTCAAAGCGTTGGAAAGTCTGGCGACCCTGTAGCATAAATGAGGTGCATATTACACATTTGTTACCCTTTTAAAAACAACCTAATGAGGACTGAAAATGCTCCGTAAGGAATATTTAGTTAAAAGGGAAAGGAAAGGGTAGGAAAATTAGTCTAAAGCATCTGAGATTTTGTGGAAAGTGTGGATGGGGCAGATTTTGGGGGGTGAGGTGGGATTTCCCAATTATTCCTCCTTTTTGCAGATCTTTGTAGGTTCCCTGCCCATAATATAAAATAGCAAAAGAACTGAAAGCAGACCCATAGAAACAAACACAAGTCAAAATCAGTCAGAAACACCATCAGCATGTAGCAGAGAAGCAATCTTACATGTCATAAAATCATTGATACTTTTTTAAAAAGTTTTCACATCAACATGATAGTCACCAAGTTAATGGGTGCAGGAAAAAGTGCAAAGAACACTTGCTGGACCAACGAATGATGGGAAGGTTAACCACACCCAGGGGCATAGGCAAGGCAAAGTGGGACTCACTGCGTGTACATCAAGTGAGTCTACAGTCAGGTCATAGGGGTGAAGATTCAGCTGCTCAAAGAGCTGCTTGAGTGTCAGTGTCTTGTCCTTGGACTTGTACACCACCCTTTCAGAATTTATCCGGTATGACTTCTTAATGAATCGTAGCAAGTGCTTCTGGTTCATGCAAGCTGCAGCATGGATATGTGTGTCCACCTGTCAGAGAAGACAAATGTCAACCCAGGGTCTGTCCAAATGCTTTCATGTTCTACCTGTTCCAGAACTATCACATCAATTGTAAGAGACACTGATCAGGGAGGTCCCAATAATCCCATTTCGAAAACCATGCGACCAGAATAACTGCAATTGCATTCAGTTACTACAGTCTGAGCCTATTGAAATCAATGGAGAAACTGCAGTAACTGCAAACAAGTGCACTGTTACTTATGTAAATGCAAGTTTTACTTAGATGCACTTGACCTATTCTGCTTTTTCTTTTGAAAGATCAAAAGTGGCTGGCATTTTTTGAAGGATGGAGGAAGGCACAGTGTACAGCAGGCACTGAGAGAAACACAATGCAAGTAAGAAATAGGATTGGGTTATGATAGGGACGGTGGACATTGATATACCCCTGGATCAGTGATGGTATATAAACACTCAGATAGTTGTGGGCAGCTGACACTGGATTTCCAGTGTAGCTTTAGTAGGAAAATTAGCTCTCCTGCATGTGCAAAGTCCCAGATTTAATTCCCAGCCCCTCCAGTTGTCTGTCTATTGATTGGCAGCAGCTCTCCGGGGATCCCCAGAGGTCTTTCACATCCCTTGATTCTTTCAACTCTATCCCTTCCTCCATCTACCTCCTCTCTGTTGTATTCCTTTAACTGAAGCCGTAAGCTCCTCATGCACATTTATGACACTATTATAATAGCAGTATTACATCTTTATAAAGTGAATTTTCTAAAAACTAGGAGAAGTCCTAGAAAGAATAAGACAGTTTTCTTATGGATGAGCCTCCAAAACTCAAGAGTCCTATAATTAGGAGTAAGCTCTCATCCTGATTCATACATTCTTCCCTCCACCATCATTATACTCTCCGGCCTGTGCTAGTCGTGGCTTGTAGCGACAGCGATTCTTCAGATATGCTGCATCATAGAGCATTATTATACCTTCTCCCCTAAGAAGACAACTCCTTACACAGATTCCCCACCTTCCGACAATTATAGAAGTCCCGATGAGGGTTATTCTTCAGCTCCTTCAGCTCCTCCATCTCATTCAACATCTCATGCACTTTGAATTTGGAAGAGAGGAACTTGAGGCGACGGTGCGTGTAGGTTTTACTGTAAGAATCAAAGGAAACGGCATAGCCACATGCAAGGGTGTAGACTTTCCAATTTCCCGGGGGGGGCTGGGGCTGGGCCAGAGGCATTGCTGTGCTAGGAGCAAGGGTGGCTCCCGGGGGAGGCTGAGCACTTTCCTGAAAATTTCGGCGGGGGCTGAAGCCCCGCCGCCCCCACGAAGATTACGCCTATGGCCACATGCAGGTCTTTCACAGAATAAACCACAGAGCACAGGTTTACTGAGGCTCACCAATGCAAATAGTGTTTGCCAGAACCACCAACCCTCTTGTTTCCTTTGCCAACTAGAACTGCAACTGTAGACCACATTTCAGGGTGACCAGACAGAAAAAGAAGAAGAAGAAGAGATTGGATTTATACCCCGCCCTTCACTACCCAAAGGTGTCTCAGAGCGGCTTACAAACTCCTTTCCCTTCCCCTCCCCACAACAGACACCCTGTGAGGTGGGTGGGGCTGAGAGAACTCTGACACAAACTGCTCTTTTTCAAGGACAGCTGTGCCAGAACTTGTGACTGGCCCAAGGTCACATCAGCAGGTGCAAGTGGAGGAGTGGGGAATCAAACCCGGTTCTCCCAGATTAGAGTCCGCACACTTAACCACTACACCAAACTGGCTCTCATCCACTGTGGCAGGGATAGGTATATTACTCTTAGGAATGCTCGGTTCTTACTTCTTTTCTACTGATACACTGATACTGAATGTAGAAGCCATCATGGGCAGCAGAAATTGAGTGTCAGTAAGTGGCAGCAAACTGAAAGCTATGTAATTTACTTCCCCCCCCTCCATTATGGGCAGGATGCCTTGTAGATTTCCTTCCTGAGGCACCATGCTATCTTGGGTTGGCCCTGTTTTTGTGTGGCATGGACATACCATAAGAAAAGTCTCTCTAGGACACTTACACAGGCCCCTGAGCTATCAGGGCCAGCAGGAAGTTCATGTCATCAATGAAGACCTCCAGGTCAGGGTATGGCAGGTCCTTGGGCTCACCCCGGGCAGCTGCTGCTTTGTCAGCATAGACGTACACCACACCTTCCTTCATCTGCACATGGTAGCCCAGATTCTCAGGGAGATTGTCAGACTGGAAAGGATCCTCACCATCCTTTGCAGCTGGAGTGAACACTGAATCAAGAGAAGAAACACAGTAGTGATGGGCAGGAAAGAGGCCTGTCAGGGAAGTTAAAATGCCCCTGGAGGAAGCCAGGCTGAATGGCCCCCTGCAGCACATCCAGTCAGTACTATAAGGACCATTGTCAACAATGAGTGTTGTCTCATCTGTGGCCTCCTCCTGCATCATACCCCCTTATTGGCCAGGTCTGAGCCAAGTGGCACCTGCAGTGTTGGCCTCCTAGGACTTGACTCCCCTTGGTCCATGCTGCTAGCGGACCTCCAGGGCAGTGGCCCACTGGGCTCTGCCGCTGTAAGTCAAATGGCCAGTGGGAAAAGAGAAGGCTTATATATCTACTTAGGTGAGATTCTGAAACCGTGAGAAAACCAGCTGACTATTGAGATCGGCTTAAATCCCCAAAGTTCAATGACATCATTGTACCTTTCCTGCAACAAGGAACTTTTGCTAAGATTTTTGCCTTTGTTCCTTTTTTTAAAAAAAAACCTGTCCCGAAGGAAAGAATTTTATTAAGATTTTTAACACACAA